TCTTAACGTGTACTTAACGACGTTAAATTAAATTTTAAAAGAATCCATTAAGAATTCTTTTGAAGACATATGATCACATATTGAATACATATTGAATTCATTCTAATGAATTCTTTAAGAATTAAAAAAAAAGAATTCAATTACAATTCATATTGTGTTTCCGTGCCTGCTGGGTAAGTTCTAAAAAGATACTTGTAAGCATTTCANTATAATTATGAAAGCATTAAGAATTTATTAAAAACGTAGGGTTTCAACATAGTAAAGTAGAAAATTGTTTGTACTTTATAAGTAATAGAAAAGATAAAGTATAAATCACTTTATTTACTCATGATTTGTTAATTTGCCGGCAAAGTCGGAAGTCCATCGACATGATTAAAGGAATTAGGATGAGCACAATACTGAAGAAAATTTTCTGGCACTTTTTTTATTATAATTTTTTTTGTTAAAGCCTTTGTTGTAAAATGGAGTAACTCGGTAATTTTTTACTCAATTTTAACGAAATTAAATACTCAAGTAAAAGGCTATAAAACAATAGTTTTAAATAGGCTTAAATTAGTAAGCTTGAATTACATTATTATTACTAAAGCTATGGATAATCAAAATTAGTGAGGGATTGTTGCTAATAGGATAGAGTAAGCAGAGAAAAGAAATTGGCTCGTGCAACTGTTGTAACTAGTATAAGACCATGCAGTATAGATGTAAGTGCAATACAAAAATATAACTAATGTAGAGAGAATGGGATGTGGTAACTAAATTTATGATAAGGAAGCGCGTCATGATCCGTACTGGTTCTCCCAGCGTGAGATGAAAAATCTTGTGGCTATATGACCGTTCTGAATTTTGACCTCGTGAGCAAAGCTCGTGGATGACGTAGATCGAGCGTGAGTGGAGTGCAGGAAATGCATCTACGCCTGTCTTTGGTATTCAGGACAGAGCATGGTGGAGAATGAGGGCTTGTTTTTTGGCGCTAGATGAGTAACGAGCCACCTTTTACGGCTCTCCACAAGCACTGTGCGTACATAATGCTAAGTAACTGGCAGAGTGATAAGTATTCGGGTGACAGAGCATAGTGAAAGAAGCGCACGTGGGAGTAACGAGAAGGCGCGCGACACTAAGGAGTGAGGAGTTCATATGTGTGTATGAGCAAGGGCACCGTCTTAATTGTGCGCACGAAGGCAAGTAAGTCGTTGTTCGACTATCAGCATGTAAGTATTGTAACTCTCCTCTTTCACACTAATTTCTAAACCTTTATCTGTTTGATTTCCGTCAGGAGACTCCTTCCCGATATCCAATATATCTTCTGTTTCATCCATCGTACAGTAATGTTTCCAAAATTGCTGCAGTTTTTGCCATGGCAGTGAGCACAGTATTTGAAACGACTTAACCCGTGATTGATACAGTAGCAGCTTTTGATGCCGTTTTTGACATATTGACATCTCACCTCTCTTAGCATCTTATCTGGCATAATTAAACTAGCGACAAGTTCTAGAATTTATTGTCCGTTTACAAATTTGCATCCCCTCATCAAGTGGGTTCAACGAACAGCCCAACAAGACTATACTTGACGATTCGTTTATAGGCACAAGGAAAGCAGTAGCAGATTCAGTTGGTGGAAGGACTTCCAGTTTTTAAACTTTTTTGCGAGACGATTTCTTGAACAGTAAACATCGTAGTAACGATAATGATATCATTTTTCCACGATACAGAGCACTAATAATTTTAACACGAACCTTGCTTGACTATTGAGGAATTGTATACTTGTGCTTCTTACCATAGAGTATTGTTGTTTTGCAACAGTTTTACTATTTTTCCTTTCCCTTGAATATTTATAGCAGATGTAGTATCTGTACCACTGAATGCATGTAGGAAGCAAATGATGCTTTTCAGAGAGTTATTAATGCAATAATCGACTTCGTACAGCTGTTTACTTGCTATTTCTTTACCATATTAAAAAAAAAAAAATTATCTACTAACACTAATGAACTAAATATAACTAGAACATCAATATCTTCAAAAATGGTTGGGTATTCTCAGTTCTATGTATGAATTGCTGTTTGAACTGTAAGCGTAACAAGAAATGAGCAATGCAGCTGCACACTAAAATATGATGTAATTTAAAAAATGCAGTATGTCCTCGACTGCACAGAGATAGCTTTGTGCCGCGTATCCCACCAAAAAATTATAAAACAGTGGAAGATTCAGGAAAAACCAGATAGCAGTAAGGGTTCTAGGTAAGATGTTTACATGTTATTTTTCCAAATTTTTATGGCTCAAAAATTTAAATGTGGCAGTAGAGTTTTGGGGGTTTGAAAATTTATAACGTCAGGGCGGAAGAGCTTTGGAGAAATTTTCAGACAAATTTTTCTCGTTAACATATACAAAATAACATGTTTCCACAGCAATTTAAAAACAGAAATTAAAAACAAGAAAATTAATAATTTGTGGAGTAGAAGTTGAGAAAATACATTTTTTGTTCGCCACGTCAGATTTAAAGCAAGGAAGACGATTTTTTGTACGGTTTCTTTGTCTGGCACTAGTCATCGCAACTCTATAAAAAAAAGACAGTTTCATTAATTACCGATTTTATATAAACGGTATGCAGCAAACATATCGATCTGAAAGTAAGAGGACCATGTGAAGTAGGTATTGACGTATACCGGAAAGTTTTTTTTTTCTTCTAACTTTATCCTATTAGCAACAATCGTTTGGTAATCTTATTTATCTGTAACTTTCGTTGTGACAATGTTATTTAAACTCACAAAGTCTTAAAATCTTTGTCTTATAGCCCTCTGCTTGTGTACGAAATTTCTTTGAAATTCAGTAAAAAATGACCGAGTTATTTTATTTTATAAATAAGGCTTTTAAAAAAAAATTAGTAAAAAAGATTAAGAAAATTTTTTAAACATTTTTTGATTGCTTATTATAATTAGAGTCTTAGACTATATATAAAAAATTAGAAACAATGTCAGATTAAATTCGTAGCGTTGGCATTAAATTTTTTTTTAATACCTACTTACAAATTACATTTCGCACAAACTGCTTTACCGATTGCAACAAAAACTTAGATGTAAATTCTGTATACTTTATACTATAATATTTTAGATTTTTAATACTGAGAAATAATTTTTTCTTGGTTTTTTAAGGCGTTGAAGTAAAAATATGTTTATATGCAGTTTATTAGCAATAAAACAATAATAA